GTTGGAAATAACTAGTGCCATATATAAATACCTTCCCTGGAACAATCAGCGGCGAAGCCTCATAGACCAAAGGTTGGTCAGATAAACATCCTTCAATTTAACCCAAATAATGCACATCTCTAAACTTGATATTTAAGTGAGAAGAGTAGGAGACGGACTCATTATCCTTTAATTTCCAAGGTTGCAACAAATCTATCGATAAAAAAAGCTAACAAAGGAAGTAATAAAGGTTGTACCTATATATCATTTAAGACTACAAATGTAGAAAAATTAAGGGGTCTTTTTCTTTGGCAGGAAGGAGAGAGGGATAACCATAATGATTGCGGTAGAGTCATAATTATTCCTTCATTCTTAACTAAACATTTTGGATTCGAGCCTGGATATTGAGTAGCCTTTGTTAGGAAGTGTTTTACTCTTAATGCGAGATTTTAAATTCGATGTGAATCTAAATTAAGTCATGCCCCTATGTAGCTGCAGGATATCGAGTAGAATTAAGTCGCAATAATTTGATTCAATGGAGATATTTTCTAAGGTAGAAGTCTTTCTTTTCAGCTTCTTCCACTTATATTTTGAGCTGTCCTTTGTATTCATATTACTGTGGACCCATAGCAATAATTCAATTCAATTGGAGTAGACCCCATCTTCCTGGAAACCTTTCAAATTTCTCAACGAAAATAGATTGAATTTCTTATAAAAATAATCTAAATAAAATGGCATAAAATAAAACGAATTGTGGGCGTTGTTTATTTGAAATGGTAAGACAATATCATAGCAATTTCTTTGTGACTGACAAAGCACGATGAAGACTAGACTTCATTGCATTTGAAGATAAATAACTAGTCAAATGCAATAATATGTAGGAAATATCTTGGAAACTCCAATGTAATATGCACATCAATGGACCACTAAAAGTACAAGCAAATAAAGGTGTAAAGAAAAAAGAAAGGCAATTGCTTTGTCACCGACAACATGACTTGACTTCATCCATTCATTTTGATCCAATAGTAGGAAAAACTACCTAGTAGATTCGCAAAAGAACTTGGGTATGCAATAGTCGAAGAAACAAAGAAATATTTTTGAAACTTGTGATTTAATATAATTTCATTAAGGAGAAAATAAACATTTTAAAATTATTTTTTTATTAAATATAGAAATTTGTGTCATTTTTTTTAGACAGACTAAAAAGGAATACATATAAATGTAACATCCGACAATTTGAAATAGCTAAAAAGAGGCTTGGAATTTGAAAATTTTCATTGTTGGAAAGGATTTGAAAATCTGGAAAATTGGCTAAGTGTAGAAATTAAGGGTATTTTGGTCTTTTCCCTAGCCTTTTATTTTGGTTATATAAATGTGTTAGGCTGATCATTTTGATCAGTTTTACCATTTTAAAAGGAGTGAGAGTGAGGGTTTTGAGAGAAGAAGAAGAGAAGAAGAGAAGAAGAGGAGATCATCGTGGGTTTTCGTCGGGGGTGATCCCTATCAAGGTATGTGAGCTTTTAGTGTTGGGTGATCTTTTCCCCCACACACCTAGCCCCTTTTATTCATTAAGAAAGGTTTGGTTATGTTGTTAAAGTTGTTAATTGTTGGGGTTGAAGTTGTTGGAGTTGTTAAAGTTGTTAGTTGTTGTTGTTGGAATTATTGTTGGTTGTGGGACATGATTGGATTGTGTCTTTGAGTGGTATTCTATTGAATGTTGAGGGATTTTATGTTTCTAAGTGATTGGGGCTGGAACCTTTGAGGTTAGAGGATTTAGAGTTGGAGACGTGAAGGAGAAAGTCGGGCAGCTTGCGAGGAGCACGTCCGCGTCGCAGACTTGTTCCCTCTTTGAACAAAATTCTTCTCCGCGTCGTGGACAGGACGTGGACTCCACTGTTTTCAGAAATTATGTTCGAAGATTTTCTTAAGTTTGGCTGTCCCAAATCATTCCTAAATCATTCCTAAACATCATGAGACCCTTCCAAACACCAATCAAGTCCTTGAATCCATAATTCAATTCAAGGAGAGTGAGAAGTCAAGTAAAGTTAGAAGTCAAGGAAAGTCAAGAGTTAAGAAGTAAGTTCAAGCAAGTCTTCCAAGCTTTTCAAGAGTCTTATTGAACGTTTTAACTTCATTTTTAGACTCAAGTTTCAAGTCAAGCAAAGAGCTTAGAGTTTCAAGCTAAGTAAAGAGTCTCAAGACTCAAGTTAAGTCAAGAGTGTAAGTTGAGTTCATTTCTCCAAAGTTAATAGGGAACTATGTACTTCCCAAAGAAGTTTCTAAATGTTTCTATATTTAAGTAAGAAAGGAATCATGTTTTCCAAAAGAGCCTTAAGGCTAGTTTTCAAGAAAAGGAACATCGTTTCCAAGTGAGCCTTTGGGCTAGATTTTTGAGTAATTATCTCATTTAAAGAAAGATGTGTTTGAAACACTTATGAGTCAAAAGCATTTTGGGAGTAGTATCGAGCACCGATTTGGAGACGCGAGTTCATATTAAACTCAACTCTCCATAAGAACCATGTAGCCAACATGGGAAGTTAACGGGTCATACTTTTTAGATGAACCCGTAAAGTTAAGCTAGTGGATCCACTTAGTAAAGTTAGCTTCCTATATCAAAAACTAGGTATAGGATGGTCCTCAGGCAACGTGAGGTAAAACGTTGTATCATTAGCTTCCTATATCACGGCAAGGTATAGGATGGTCCTCGGGCAACGTGAGGTAAAACGTTGTATCACCACTCATATTCGTAGTGGTGGTTTGTCGGTTAGAGAAGCTCCCACAGTAGAAAAACATGGTCCCTCGAGGGTTCTGCTTAGTATGGATGGGGGTATGGGACCTCATTCATGCATTGCACAAGTAGACCTTGAGAGGAAGCATGATATTTTCATGATATTATAAATATGATTTTTACGTCATGTTTTAAGAGTTTTACAAGCTTTATACATCGCATGTGTCTTATTGCTTTATATATATTGAGTTCATGAATGTTGAATAGAGCCAAGGTAAGTGTTCTCGTGTACTCTTTCCAAGCTTTATCTGTGGTTTAGCTTTCCAACTCGCCTACTCGTACATTCAATGTACTGATGCCAGTTGGCCTGCATCTTATGACGATGCAGACACAGGTACCCCGGATCGGCATCCTGTTCGTCGTTGATCCAGCTGAGCACTCCAGAGTCAGTGGTGAGCCTCCCTACTTTCCGGAGGACTCGGTTAATTTGTGTTTCTAGTTTTATTTTGTTAGGATGTTGCGGGGACTGTCCCAACATCCATCTCAGTATGTTAGAGGCTTCATAGATAGTCAGTCAGTTAGAATTGAGTCTCTAAGCTATGTATATATGTGAATATTCTATTTTGAGACTCGAGTTGCCTTTTTGGCCAGATATGTATCAGCTAAGTTGTTTATGTCTTTGCATGGCATTGAGTTTTCTGTTGAGTCAGGTTTCCGCTGAGTTAAGAAAGCCAGGCCAAGGGTTCGCTTGGGGCCAGCAATGGTCTCCGAGTGCCGGTCCCGCCCAGGGTGTAGGCTCGGGGCGTGACAATAAATTTACAAGAAAGTACTTAATTTTACATTTTTTTCCCGAGATAATAACCAATCAAAAGCAGGGATATGGTCCAATTTTTCTTAGAGTGAGTCCATAACCAAAAATGAAAAGAATTATTAGTTAATTTCAATTATTAAACCTAGTATTATTTTTTTTGACAAAACCTAGTAATTTTGACTCTCAACTTAATTTTTTGATTTATTAGTTAAAAAAAATCTTTATCCAAAAAATAAAAATAAAAATAAAATTTTTCCATTGTTAGGTATAATGATAATTACCCTTTCATTTTTAACCAAATATTTTAGGTTCGAGCCTTGAATATTGAGTAACCTTTGTTAAAGAGTGTTTTACCCTCTATGTGAGACTTCTTGACACAAATCTGAATTAAGTCAGGCCCCTATGCGGGTACAAGATATCAAATAGAATGGTAGAATTAACTTGCAATAATTCAATTCAACTGAGCTATTTTCCAAAGGGCATAATACATAAATTGGACCCTAAACTTGGCTTCGAATTTTAAGTATGACCTCTAACTTTCAAAAGTGCACAAGTAGGTACTTCAACTATCCAATTCTTAAACAAAAAAACACGCGAATCCAACCTGGCATAACTCGTGATTGAGACGCAATTCAGGCGCGTCAGAGGTATTTTTTCGAGGCCCACAATAGTAAAAAAAAAAACGAAAATGCTAATTTTACCCTTAATGAATCCCTTTTAAATATATCTTTATTTTTTTCAAATCAAAATCCCATTTTTTCTTCTTCTTCTTCCTAATTCTAGTACTCAAGCTTTTTTTCTCTTTTTGTGCACAATTTCTGGTCGTTTTTTATGTAATGGCTTCTAATTCTTTTTGTCATTGTGTAAAAAGAGCTATAATGAAGATTTCTTGGTCTACAAATAATTCAGGTATAAAAAAAAGTGAATTTACATTCATGGTGACAGCTTCTACCAAAATAAACTTTCAAAAAGCAAAAAATTAACATAACCAGACTAAATTGAGGAAGAACAACACATAAACATCCAAAAGATAAGAACTTTGACCACGAATATTCCCAATTTTACTTTGATTTGCAAAGAAATTAGGGCTAGGGCTCCGCTGATGTTGAGTGAAAATCGAGCAAATTGGGAAAAGAAAATACGACCCTACCCTTTTGTATTTTAATTTCTTCTTTTTTTTAATTATAAA